TGGAATACATTTTAAAAGTAACCTTCCCAACACTGCACAAAATTAAGGAGGAGTGTGCAGCTCTCCGTACAGACTCACCAGCTGAATGCTGAATGAAATGTTATCACTACGATGGCCCTGAGAGGTCAAACACTCTCCAGCTTAACAAAAGCAAAAACACCAGCAAACAGAACACTGTAGTTTTCTTTGCTGGTGTTTTGTTAAGTTGCAGTGTGTATATAACAGATGTTTTATTTCAGCTGACCACAGTAAATATCTGACACTCAATAAAACAATGAGCTGCCACACATGTGCAGCAGGGAGTTGATGACCAACCTTGCTGAAAAGATATTAATCAATTCAAGCTTTGCAAATTAAGGACACCAAATCAAAACGAATGAAGTCGCTTTCCAATCATAAACAACAAGCTGCCACAATTTTCATTAAAACTGCCTGAGCTGGACGTTAGAAATATGTCTGTTGTTGTTGTTGAGGTTTACATCAATAAGGATGCTGGATAAGATACAAATTGAATATGAATTTGCTTTATTTTGTATAGTAGTACATTAGTTTAGTATTAAACGAATTATACGAAAAACCATTCTCACATTTTTTCACATAAATTCAACCATATACACAAAAGCATTTATTTTGATCTTTAAATTGGTGCCGAGACCCCGTTTTGACTCTTCTCCGCTTAATAAACGAATTACTGTACTTTTGAGATCTTCACTGCCTCTCACAGTTTCATATATACAATTGATTCCTAGCTTTCCTGATTCAGATGACACCGGTAATTTTTTATCAAATGGTCATAGACACATTTATGAGCCTCCTTAGCCCTGAGACCTGTTCATACAGAGGCTCACAGCCAGGTTTCAGTAGATAGCGAGGTCATTTATCAGCCGACTCACCCCGGGCATCGAGAGTCAATATCACAGGATTTCAGTGTGTGGTGGCGTGTTGACAGACTGTTTTCTTTCAGCTCTGTGGGGAGAAGAGAGTCTCATGATGCAGTGCGGGCATGCATCTCAATGCCCTGCCCGGGTATGTCCCTGAGTGAGATACAAGGACATGCTGATATCATCGGGGACCCGAAGGTAAATTAATCCTTAACTAATGCAAGCAGGCAGTGATTTTATTAGCATGAGATGCATCACAGCAGCAAGAACTGTACCTTTAATATCCGGGAAAAAATGAAGAAATGGATGAGAGATGAATTCTGAAATACTGATACAACATTCAGCTGTTGCTTCGGTTGCCGCTGAGGCACTAAACAGAAAACAGAAAAGATTCACAGCCACCAAAACGCTTCCTGCCTCTGGAAGCACACTCACATACTGATGCTGGGTCAGGATCCCTTCAGATCACAATGCGACACAAAGGCACACAGCTCCCTCCTGATTGTGGGTTTTTCTGTACAGGAACATTTGCTTTGAGCAACCAGTGTTGATGAGAACCCAGAGACAAAACTTCAGGTTTTATGTGTTTTAAGTGTAAAAACCAAGAAAAGTCAGCACGAGGAGGGTGGAGGTATAGTGGTAGCATTAGTCTGATTAAGGAGCAAGTCATTTTCTGTGAGGACTTGGAGACTGTAATAGCTTTGGTTAAATACAAGATCTTAACCCAAACACTGCTTCTAAATGTTTATTTTACTAACAATAGCTCTTTGAGTAGGATTTTGAAAATACACCCCTTTACAACATGTGCAGTAAGGTTTTCCAACCATTTTGTTTCTTTTTTAGTGCAACTGCAGTGACAATGACAGCAGAGCACATTTGGCTGCAGTCTCAAGGCATCTGAGGAAATCTATAGGTCAGCCCTGCAGAATAAAAAAATAATGCTATAGGAGTGCCCAGTCAGTTAAAATACGACATCAGTGTGCGCTGACCAAAAGCCAGATTTTGTTCAGTACTTGATTCTTAGCTGTTTTAATAAATGAGCTAGACTTCAGGTCAAATCCACAAACCATTCCTCCAAACTTTCTGGGAAGGACCCAAATGCAGGATGGTCCATCAAAAAACGAAACCTAAACACATAAAGAAGAAACATGAAGGAGAAACCGACAGGGAAACACTTTAGGAACTGAATAAAAAATAAATAAATAAATATTTGGTCTGACCACCGTTATTCTTCATCACAGTCTGAACTCTCTCAGGCAGATTTTTTGTCATTTCATTAAGTAGTCTTCAGGA